GGCACATGTGCACATGTCTGGGTCTGTGCCTGCTCCTGCAGCGTCGGCTGCACCTGCCTTGGGGGCTGCACATGTGCCTGTAGCTGCGCCTGCGTCGGCGGCTGTGCCTCCGGCTGTGCCCGCTGCGGCAGTAAGTGCTCTGGGGAGGTCTGTGTCTGTGCCTGCTTCTGCCGCGGCGGCTGCACCTGGGCCTGGATCTGCAGGACCCGTGGCTGGGATCGTGGCCGCACTCGGGCTTCCAGTGGCTCAGGCAGCAGCTCGGGTGTCTGCGTCTGCTTCGGCGCTGTCATCCGGGCCTGTGGCTGGACCTTTGCCTGCAGCTGCCCTGGGGGTCCCTTTTCTGTGGGCTTCTCTGAGCTAGGAAGGATCAAAGGAGATCAAAGTCATGTCTTCCAACCGGCTCCCTAGAAAGGCTAAGACCCAGGTTCCAATCATCACTCTGCCACATTCGAGCTGGGCATTTGGGCAAGCCCCTTCGGCTCTCAGCCTAAATGAACTGGGGGGATCACTTGCTCCCACCTCCCACAACTTGCTAATATGCCACCAAGGCCTGTAGAGCTGCCCACCCTCTGCCCACCCTAGGTCCCAGATGCACATCTCCACCCCTCAACCTGGCCGCTTCGTCTGTCTCCAGGGGGCTCAGTCAGTGAAGACATGAGTCTGTCTGGCCTGGGGCCTTCCCAAGTGAGATGCAGAATTAGGTTTGACCTTCCTCCAACCCAGAAGCCAATGCCCTGTCCTTGTTCCAACTCCCCTGAAGAGTCCTTTCCCCACCTACACCCGCCGCCCCCTGCCTGCCCGCCACGCCCCCCCGGCCTTTGCAGGAATGAGAGTTCAGGCCTCCTGGGCCCGGCAGGGTTTCAGCATCAGTTACCTCTTTGACCTTTTAGCTGGTGGCCCAGACGCTTCACAGGACTCTGGCTCGGGTGCCGAAGTGCAAGTCTCCTTAGTAACGTCATCGGGGCAGGGAGGGGAATCTTGATCTAGAAGGAAGGGACAGGTCAAGCACCAACCATCTCTAGGAGGTAAGGCCTGGGCTCACCCCCAACCAAGATCCCTGCCTCCATGACCAGCCCTTCACCCCCTTGCCCCAACCGCCATCCCCTCTGAAGGACCAGCAGCTCCCTCACCTGGCGTGTCCGTTCGGGGCTCCGCAGCTTCCTCAGACCCCTCTGGGGGGTCCGCCTCATCTCCCACAGGCATCGTCTGAGAAGAAGAGTCCTGCTTCCGTTCAGAAACCGTTTCTGGCACCCACCGCCCACCTTGCAAATCCATCCTTGCCCAAGAGCAGCTGCTACGGTCCCAGGAGATGAGGGGCCTAGGGTCTCTCCTCTGGTGGCCCTGGCCCCAGAGCTGCCAAGAGATGATCTTAAACTCCCCAGGAATCGTGTCCAGGGCATTCCATCTGGTTGCTGACGTCAAGTAAACCCAGGTTTGGGGGCCATGAGCCCTCTCCTGGCCACGGTGCTGTGTCCTGACGTCCCCCCCTTCCCTGCAAGCAGCTCAGAGGGACCCTTCTCAAATGCACACCCGATCACACGTCTCATCTCTTTCAGGCCGAACCCCCCGCCCCCCGACTTCTTGTAGCCCGGAGTGCTCTCTTCACCCCGAGCCTGACACCACCTCCCCTCCTTCCTATACAAAACGACCTCTGCCCCCACACCCACCCCTCCAAGCTGGAGGCCAAGGTCCTTTCCCCAAAGCCCCAGGCCTTTCCAGAGCCCCAAACGCACTTCTTACAGGAACCCTTCAGGGGAGCTGAGCAAGGAAAGGAAAGGCACTGGCCTCTGGCTGGAGGAAGGGCAAACCCAGTTCTGCACCTCCCCTGGGAACCAGCACTAAGCGGACCGCCCACCACATCAGGCCTCCGTGCCCTGCAGCAACTACCCGCAGGACATGGGCACAGGCCTTCAAGTCAGGAAGCCCAGCTCTGGGTCTTTCTCCCCCAGGGAAACCTCCATCCACCCGGCTCTGAGCCTCAGTTTTCCCATTTGTAAAATGGGGGTGGGGTGCTCAGAGACAAGCCTGTGAGGAGAGGCCCACTGGGAGGTCAGAGGCCAGAACCCCTCTCTGGAGGGAGATGACTCACCCCCAGAGGGGGGCTGCCTGGGAGCAGGCAGACAGCGGGTACTGCCCCCACCCCAGAATCCTCTGAGGAGCACGGTGTGTGTGAGGAGCTGCTGGGACGTTCAGGGCCAGGACAGTCTCGGGGAGTTCGCTATTCCCTTTGCCAGTCTCTCTGAGTCTTTCTGCTTATCAGGGGACCCTCCCTCTGAAGCGTTCACCCCACTCTCACACGGGGAGGATACGGGGTGCCGGCTCAGAACCTTCGGATGCCAGTGTGGGGTTCAGGGCTTTATAATATGGTTTCACCCCCATTACCTTTCCTTTCTACTGTTTTATTTTATTTTATTTTACTTGATTTTATTTTATTTTATTTTAGGTAGTGATATCATATGTTTCCTTTTTAAATAACCGAGCAGAGGCCCTGGCCGGATAGCTCAGTTAGAGTATCATTCTGATCTCCAGTCAGGGCACATCCAAGAATCAACCAATCAATGCATAAATAAGTGGAACAACAAGTCGATGTTTCTCTCTCTCTTAAATCAATCAAGCAATCAATCCCGGAGCAGAGTCCAGCTCACTTCGAGCTGTCCTATCCCCGGCAGCAGCCATTAGCCACAGGTGGGTGGCTTCTGAGTACTTGAAACGTGGAAAGCCAAACCGAGATTTTGGTATAAAATCCACATCAGATTTTAAAGATTTAGTACAAAAAAAAGAGGGAGAGAAATGTAAAACGCCTCGCTCATTTTTTATATCAATTACATTTTGGAATGATAATTTTTAAATATATTGGATTAAATAAAGCATATTTAATTAAAATCAAATTCACCTGTTTTGTTTTGCTTTGTTAATATAATTACTAGAAAAAATTAAATTCCATATATGGCTTGCATTTTATTTCCATCAGGCAGTGCTGATTTTAAGGAGAACTCCTAAAACTAATATAGTGTTATGTGTCGATTATAGCTTAATTTTTTAAAAAAGAGAAATTTTAGCCCTGACCGGTTTGGCTCAGTGGATAAAGTGTCGGCCTGCGGACTGAAAGGTCCCAGGTTCGATTCCAGTCAAGGGCATGTACCTTGGTTGCAGGCACATCCCCAGTAGGGGGTGTGCAGGAGGCAGCTGATCGATGTTTCTCTCTCATCGATGTTTCTGACTCTCTATCCCTCTCCCTTCCTCTCTGAAAAAATCAATAAAAATATTTTTTTTAAACAAGGAGACATATGTAATACTCTTTGTAATACTTTAAGCAATAAAACAATAAAAAATAAAAAAAATTTTAAAAAGAGAGAAATTTTAGGTTAATAATACTGATGATATTTGGACATGGCAAAAATCCCATCAGGGGTTCAGGAATATTTGAAGTTTGAGAAACACTACACAAGTCCAACTTACCTCCTGCTCACTTTACAGGTGAAGAAACTAAGGCATAAAGAGGGGTGTGGCCTGCCCAATGTGGGCCAGAGCGGGGAGCTGGCTGATAACCAGGCCAGCCCTTTCCCATCCCTGCCTGCCCTGCCCCCCGCCACCACTCACCTTGCGATCAGGGGTGGTCCGGGCCTGTTTCTGGGGGTTCCGCCCGGCAAGGATGAGCTTGGAGGGGTTGATGGGGACCCTGACAGGAGGGGGGCCCAGCAGGGACTGCTGAGTGGCCTGGGGAAAATACTGCTGTAGATTTGGGGTGGCCATCTGGGGGGGCGTGAGGCTGGGGGCTGTCAGGTTCGGGGTGGCCAGGTTGTAGCTGCGAAGGTTACCTGGAGGCAAGAAGATGGAGAAGAGGGATTATAACACGCTGCGGGCGGAGCATTCCCGTGCTTTCGCGTTACACAGTGCTTTGCAGAAAAGTCAACGGCACTTTCACATCTGGTTGGATGGTGGAGGCTAAGCTTTCTATGCGTGGCCCCGTCACTAGGCCCAGCCATCAGCAGGGTAGATACTGTTTCTACTGATGACACAGAAGACACGAAGCGGAGGACTTATCCAGGGTCCCCGGGAGTCTGGACTCCTCCCTCTCTTTATCCCCCCACCAAGCCAGCACCAAACCCTACCAACCCTTTCCCCTGCCCCTCTCCCAGTCCAGCCTGACTCCCCTTCCTAGCTCCACTCCCAGCGCCCTTCCAACGCCACTTCATCCCTGCCCGTCAGCCAGGTTTGCACTGGAGAGCAGCGAAGGGTGATCTTACCAAAACCACACTCTGACTTTGCCCTTCCCCCGGTCTAAACCCTTCCACAGCTCCCTGCTGCTCATGGTGCCAGGTTCCGCCTTGCCCTCCTCCCTGACAACCTTTCTTTCTATTCGCCCCGCACATGCCCCCACTAGACTCCAGCTATAGGCTCCCATGTATCCCTCAAACAAGCCTGGTTTCTTCCTGCCTCTGTTCCTTCCGCCTGGGACCTTCTGCCCCCACTACCTCCCAGTTACTCAAGGCCTCCGTGTAGGTGTTTCCTCTGGAGGCTTCCCCGGAGCCTCTCTCAGTCCCCAGGGCCTCGAGCTTGCCTGTTCCAGGACCGGCTGCACAACTGCCTTGTCTGCTTCCCACTGCCCATCACCCCACCACCCGGGGACACCGCATCAGGCTCAGCATCCCAGTGCTGGGAAGTATCTGAGCCACAATGGACAGTGCAAGTTCTTGCCCCAAGGCTCGGAGGAAAAGCAGGGGTTCGGGGCAGGCGTCAGATGTGCTGTGACAGCTTATTCAAATCCAGACTCAACAGTACAAGCTCTGTGACCCTGAGCAAATCAGCTCCCCCTTCTCAGCCTCAGTTCCTTCATCTGTAAAATGGGGATAATAACAGTGCTTGACTCAGTTATTAGGAGGATCCAATGAGATATACAAGCATGCCTTGTATATAGCAAGTGTTCAATTAACATGGATTTAAAACAAATACATGTACACAGATGTGCAGGGAGAGAACAGAACGCCAACCAGCTGTTACAGTGAGATGAAAGATGGCACACTCCCAAAGAAAAATGACAAAGCCCTCATGCCCGCCAGAATGGCTACTATCAATAAATCAACAAACAAGTGCTGGCGAGGATGTGGAGAACAGGGAACCCTGTGCACTGCTGGTGGGAATGCAGACTGGTGCAGCTGCTGTGGAAAACAGTATGGAGTTTCCTCAAAAAATTAAAAACTGAACTGCCTTATGACTCAGTGGTTCCACTTCTGGGTATGTATCCAAAGAAACCCAAAACACTAATTCAAAAGGGTATGTGCACCCCTGTGTTCATTGCAGCATTATTTACAATTAGAGGCCTGGTGCACCAAAATTCGTGCACTGGGGAGGGTGTCCCTCAGCCCGGCCTGCACCCTCTCACAGTCTGCGAGCCCTCAGGGGATGTCCCACTGCCGGCTTAGGCCCGCTCCCTACCAGGAGTGGGCCTAAGCCATCAGTGGGACATCCTTAACGCTGCTGCAGAGGCAGGAAAGGCTCCCCCCACTGCTGCTGCACTCGCCAGCCATGAGCCCGGCTTCTGGGCTTCTGGCTGAGCGGCACTCCCCCTGTGGGAGCACACTGACCACCGGGGGCAGCTCTTGTATTGAGCATCTGTCCCCTGGTGGTCAGTGCACATCATAGTAACCAGTCGTTTCACAGTGTGGTCAATTTGCATATTACCCTTTTATTATATAAGAATAGCCAAGATTTGGAAGCAGCCCAAGTGGCCATCAGGAGATGGATGCATGGATAAAAAAGCGGTGGTACAGAGCTGAATACAATGTTCGTTGGAACTCATCACTGTGGTACAAACTAGGTTCTTTGTAAATTAAAAAAACTATGGTGCTGCAATATTTTTGGAATTAGTTGTGATACATTTATTTTATATTCATAAACTCTGTTACATTCTATCAATTGAAGAGACGCTGTAGCTGTTACAATTTACAACTTTTTAATGTAAACACAGAGTAACTAAACTATAATTTTTGTGTGTAACACAGCTGGTGTTGAATTAAAATTATATCTCATCATGAAAAAAAAAGCTGTGGTACAATTACACATGGAATACTACTCGCTCATCAAAAAGAAGGAAATGCTACTCTTTGCAACAGCACAGACAGATGTGGAGGGCATTGTGCTAAGTGAAACAGGCCGGTCAGAGAAAGACAAAGGCACATGATTTCACTCATATACGTGGAATCTAATGAACAAAATGAACTAACAAACAAAACGGAAACAGATTTATAGATACAGAGAACAGAATGAAAGCTGTCGGGGGGTGGGATTTGGGAGTGGATGCAAAAAAAGTGAAGGGATTATGCAAAAAAATAAAATAAATAAAAAGAAAAATGGCAAAGGACATGGACAAGTCACAAAAAGAAATACAAACGTTTAACAGACCATTATAAAATGTTAAACTGCACTAGCACTCCAAGAAATGTAAACGAAAACATCAATAATATAGCTTTTTGCCAACCAAGTTAGTAAGTTATATGTATATACATGTATATATATATAAAAAAGCATATAATACCCAGTGATGCTGTGGGCATGGTGAGACCGGTACTGTCATACGTGGCTGGTGACATTGCAAACTGGTCCAGTCCTTTAGGAAAGCAATTTGGCAATACTTATCAAGAGCCATAAAATACCCATCCCCCACCCACCCAGTTATTCTACTCTTGGGAATCCATTCTAAGAAAATAGTCTCAAACAGGATATTCGTCCCACTGTTATTTAAAATAGAAAAAAAAGAAGAAAGAAAGAAATGGCTGGGGAGGTTTACGTAAGCAAAGGCACATCCCTCCAATGGAATATTAAACAATAACCACCATCACACTCCAGTCCCCACGGTTGTACCTAGAAAAGAATGGGAGGGAACGCACCAAAACCTTGACGGTGGTTCTTCAGGAGGTGGGTGGGGCTACAGACGGGAATTTGGGTTTTCTTATCCTCTTTTAAAAATGCTCTTTTCACTTGTCTTTGAAGAGTGCAACTTTTTAAATGGGGGGAAATATACGCATATATTGTGGGTCCCTGTGTGGTTTTATCTCTCCACTCATCTAGCTGTCATTTTTCTTTCTTTCTTTTTGTTGTTGATTTTTTTAATGGAATTTATTTGGGTGACATTGGTTAATAAAGTTATATAGATGTCAGGTGTACAATTCTATCTATCATTTCTTAAGATTTTTAATTGATTTTTTGAGAGAGAAAGGGAGAGGGAGAGAGTGAGGGAGAAGAGAGAGAGAAACATCGATGTGAGAACATCGATCAGCTGCCTCCTGAGGATCGAGCCCGCAACCCAGGCATGGGAACCCAACCAGCAACCTTTCAGTGCATGGCATGATATCCAAGCAACCTAGCCACGCCAGCCAGGGCTGTCTGTCATTCATATGTAAGCTCCCAGAACCATTCACACCCAGGTGGCCCTGGCAGGGCCGAAGAGTGACGACCATCACATCTGCCCTGGCTGCAAACCCTGCTGGGGGGCAGGAGAGTCTAGCGCAGTGGTTCTCAACCTTGGCTGCACATTAGAATCACCTGGGAATCTTTTTTAAAATCCTGATTTCTGGGCCTCATTCCGGAGGCTGAAAAACTGCTCTCCCCATGGGGAAACTGAGGCCAGGGCACAGACCTAAAGCACCCACTCAGAGATCCAGGGGGTCAGGAGGCTCAGGCCTTGGTCTAGCTCGGCCACTGTTGGTGCGGTGTGACCCAGGGCAAATGACTTCCCTTCTCTGGACTTTCAGCTTCCTCATCTGTCATACGGGATGCAGGGGAGGGTGGTCAAAACCGGTCTTTCGAACCAGCATCTCACGTAACCTGAAGGTCAGTGAAATGTGCTGAGTGCTGTCCACAGAGAAGCAACATGGCCAAGGGCACACAGTGGGTGCGGTCAGACAGACCCGCCGGCAGCTGAGCAACTTGTGCCTCCTGGAGCCTCGGTGTCCCGCTTGTAAACTGGGACGCCGCCAGCAGCTCCCTCTCAGGGTGAGGCTGTGGATCTGGGGGGACTGGGGGCTGCTGGGAAGCTGGCACTAAGACGCAGTGAGAGGACCTGTGGCCATACCTTGCAGCTGCTGCAGAAGCAACGCTCGCTGTAGCAGCACAGAGCC